GCGCCTACCTACACACTCTGTCAGTTTCACCCCCTCACATCCTGTCTCCATCTTTCTCCTCTCGCCTCTATCTTTCTTACTCATTCTCCATTCTTTTATCTTGTTACACTGCTCTCCTCTCTCCTCCTACTTTCCCCACTCTTTCTGATGTGTTGCTGGGCAGGCTTAATCACTGTGTGTTGGTAATGAAGTGAAAGCCTGGAGTGAGCCCACACACACACACACACACACACACACACACACAGGCAGGATCTGAAACATTAGTACTACACACATGTTGAAGTGTGGGGAAAGTGTCCCTGAGACCACAGTGGGAGATGCAAGAGGTCAGTGAACGTCAGGGCTGTGCAGGTGTCTGAGATCACAACACTGACCGTGTGTGTGTGTATGTGCGCAGGCGTTAGTGTCAGTGACGAGCTGTCATACATGTCTTTCTCACACATGTAAAATGACGGTGTGCCACGCTCGCTGTCTGAGTGCTGCTCTCAGCCTCTCCATCATTCTCCAAAACAAGGACAACATCAGGGAGGCCAGTCACCATTCATTTACTGTTGGTTTGTTTTTTTATCAGTGAACGTCCCACAAAGAAACGTCCTGCATTGTTGGTCCACAGCTGGAGACAAAGGGACCCCACGGCTGTGAGACCCTCTGTGTTTCATCGAACCTTTGAAATGTGGGAGGAGCTGTGACAGCAGTAGCTGGGCACCTACCTGGTGTCTTGTGTCAGCCTTTGCTGCTCACTACTTTTAACTTCACACTTGGCCTTGGACTAAAATAAAAGAACTGTGGAGAACGGACGTATTACAGAGAGAAAACTTCCCTCAGGAAACATGTGATGAATATTAATATGTGGTAACACAGTGGTGGTACACCACGCCTGTCAGGTCCTGAGACAGGTCTGGGGGCAGAGAGCGTTACCTCTCCAGCTCGCTCAGCTCGCTGTCCCTCTGCTCTGTGTGGACTCTGCTCAGGAGCTCTGCTTCCACACATCACCCACTGTGTCCTTGGTGTGCACACAGACACACTAAGACTTAGATAAGTTTAAAACATATCCTGATACATAGTTTTTTTTAATGTGATACTTAGAGATCAACATTTCCATATGCACCATCGTGAAACTGACAACACAGCTGTGTTTTCTGTTTGGAGACTATCCTCAGCATCCACGTGTATCATGTATCATCCAATGAAAAAGCTGAAAACTGTCAGCCTCCAGTCTGCATGGTAAGGGCCTCCGACTTCGGGCCTCCGACTTCGGGCCTCCGACTTCGGGCCTCCGACTTTAGCCTCCTGGGTAGTTCACGTCTCACTACTCCAGGTATCATGTCTTCTAATAGTATGTTCAAAGTGCACACATGTAATTTTCATCAGAGTTATGAGAGCAGCCACAAACAGAATGCTTCAATTTGAATCCCAGTTATTGTGCACCACCATTCCTATCTCGAGTCCCGCGTGGACACTCCCTGAAATCACCATTTTCATAGTAGATGTTTGTTAAACCTCAAATTAAGACAGCAGAAAAGTGTAATTACCCTCCTAAGAAAAGTGGAGAAGAGGAAGCGTGGGTCTGAGACGGAGGTGGGGGGACGGGGAAACATAGCTGTGAAGAAATCTGCAGACATTACATGTGTAGTTCTGTTTGTCAGCACACAGCCATCACCTCTCTTCCTAAGCTCGCTGAAACAGCTCTTTCCCCACACCTTCATGGTATGACTCTGCACATCATCTTTGTTGATCAGAACCACCACTCGCTCCTCGACTGCTCGGGCCTCCTCTGACTGCAGGCTTATGTTAAACAATCCTGTCAAAGGAGCTGCTCTTTCTCCACAGGTGCTTCACCTGGACCAACCACCTGTCTCCATTCATTGGCTTTGTTTTTATAAGTGCTGGATAAAGTGCTGTGGTATGGTACTGTCCACTGTCTCCTGTCTGTAAGTCTTTTTCCTTTTGCCAGCTGTTTGCTGTTCGCCTGGTCTCTTGTTTATGTTGATCTTCCTGACTTTTCCACTTTTCCTTTGCTAACCTCGTCCTTTGAATACTTATACTTCCTCAAGTCTGCTTGTCCTCTTTCCTCCACACACACCAAACACCTTCTTAGCAGTTTTCCTAACCATTTCAAATATACTTTCCCAGTCATCAGGCAATATTTTCTTACCACTCTGAGCCTGTCTCCAGTTTTCCTTCCTCAGCTTCCATCATTTAATCATTGGCTTTATCTTCACTTCCTCTTCTTGGTTTCATCCTACAGACTGTTCACTGCTGCCTAAGAAGATTTCCTCCTTGCAGTCTCACATCTCTTTCTTAATGCACTTTCAACATAAGATACAGTCTACCTGTGTGCACCTTCCTCCACCCTTATAAGTCATTTATTGTTCCCCCTCTTCTTCAAATGTGTGTTTACTGCAGCTGTTTCTGTCCTTTTTGTCTACTATCATCTGTCTGTCTCCATTTCTCTCCACAAGCAGAAACCTCCTCATCACCTCTGTTTCCTTCACATACATGTAATTCTATTCTATTTTATTTACACAGCGCCAAATCACAACAACAGTCGCCTTGAGGCGCTTTATATTGTACAGTAGATTGTACAATAACACATACAGAGAAAAACCCAACAATCATATGACCCCCTATGAGCAAGCACTTTGGTGACAGTGGGAAGGAAAAACTCCCTTTTAACAGGAAGAAACCTCAGGCTCAGGGAGGGGCGGGGCCATCTGCTGTGATTGGTTGGGGGTGTCCACTGAAGTCTGCTCCAATCAATTCAAGTCAGTTTTATATAGTGCTTATAGTTAGTTGCTTAAATCACCTCTCTCCACCATTTCATCCACCCCAGTATTCCTTTTTCTCTTCTGACGCCGAGCTTGTGGGGCACACACACTAACAACACTCAACAAGTCATGGTCCTGTCTGTGTGACACAGTCCCTATCCTCACGTCCATGCTTCTCCCAGCACCACACACAGTTGTTGTTAACTTGGATCCCAAATGATCTGGTACAGGAATCTCATTCTTTACGGTCCCATATCATCAGACCTTGGCACTCGGAGTACACTGGCTTGTCACCTCCATGTGGCTGGGTGACTGTAGTACTTTTATATAACATTTCACATTACAGCTCTGAGATGGAAGAATGGTATTGATTATATTGATCTTGAGAAAACTGTTTTCTTAACCATCTCAGGAACTGATCTGAAACCAAAGGCAGAGAGTGAGACAAGCTGCAAACCAGTAAAAACATCTTTACCAGCACGCTGTCATCAGCAGTTGTCCAAGAGCTCCATACAATGACTTTATGTAAAATCAGTTAAAAATGCTGATGATAGCCGTAGCAGGTGATTTAATAGAAGACTGCAGTAACCGAGTAGATTTGTTCCCTGCTCCTTTCCAAGCCCATGCATTTGGAAATCATTGTGAGACTGCAGTGTGTATGTTGTGTTTAAGATGAAATAACTTTAATACACAACGATGCGTTTTCACTCAGACTTTAGTTCTTACCTGTTCCCAGTCTATACTGCGGAAAAACGTGTGGGACTTGATGTCTGTGAAGCCTGTCTGGACCTGACAACCCAGCCGCTCCTTGGGATCCTGTTGGAGCCAAAACAGCTGGTCAGGAACATCAACAGAAGCTGCTGTAGTACACATACTGTAAGAACTGCCAGGAGTGTGATGAAAAAGACCAATTATTATATTTTATTATCATTCAAATGTTGAACTATACATGAAATGACTGTCTTGAGGACAACAACAAGAATTTCATTAAGTACTACAAAGGTATGTGTACATGTGGCACAGCCTCCCTGTGCACTGCTCATCACAACAATCATGCAGGTGACATACAGAGGTTTAAACAGGACATGGAAAAATGAAACCACAGGCTCAAATGCAGTAACGGTCGTTGTTCTGTAACCTGGTCTTTAACCAAAGACACCTTTGCCTTTGTCTCCTGTGCACGTGGTTTTTCTCGTTGTCTAAATATCCCACAGTAAAGTGATGCATCCATCACGGACACTTTTTATCCAGCTATCCAATCACAGCAGAGGGGAAAAACTACAGTCATCAACTCTTACTTGTAGTCCACAGGGCTGCTTGTACCAAATGAAAGTTTCATGTGCTTACAACACATTTATTTCTGCTATTCTGCATCACTGCAACCAAAGCATCTCAGGTTCAAACAATAAGTGCTGAGTAGGGATCTCATCTGGACGTTTGCAGTAGAGCACCTGGTTCTTCAGCTGATTGATATGTACACCCCTGACTCTGGTCACAAGAGAATTAGCTTTTATCAGAGATGGTTGAATATGTCAAAATAAACTGTGAGTAACAACATGGCTCTCAGATGAGCTCTTATACAGAGTAGATGATGAATGGTCTGCATTTATAAAGCATGGTCATCCAGGGTTATGCTTGACCAGTTTACTGTGGACTTTCTGCTGAATCATGCTTGTTATTAATCTCTGTCTCTCTTCCAAAGCATGTCTTTATCCTGTCTTCCTTCTCTCACTTCAACCAATCGCAGCAGATGGCCCCGCCCCTCCCTGAGCCTGGTTCTGCCGGAGGTTTCTTCCTGTTTAAAGGGTGTTTTTCCTTCCCACTGTCGCCAAAGTGCCTGGAAAAACTCCCTTTAAAAACTCCTGAAACTATGTGTCAGCCTCAGGCCAGACTGCTACTGGGTCTGTGGTGTGCCTGCTTTCACTCCTGGCTTTAGCCTTGTACTTAGTGCACAGACATGATGCTGTTCTTAAAAAGCATGTGAAATTAAGTCACTACATTCAGTTTCACACATGGACTAAAGTTTTCTTGGCCTGACAGAGGTGCCTGCCTTTAAGCAGCAGCAGCTGCAGCAGCAGCAGCCTGGTCCAAAGACGTCGTGTGAATAGTTCAGCTTGTATTTTGGTGCTTTCACTGTTATCGTGTGTGCTGCTTCTGTGGAGCCAGCTCTCTAAATGAAATCATGCTGGAAGTTTCCCTCATCAGAGTGGGTCTGAGGTGGACTAGTTCCTGTCAGTGTTACATGTGAGAAAGTGCTGCTTATCCCAGCAGTAATCTAATTACTGTGTCACTTTCACCCTCTTTATCGTCCACTTTCAATGATAAGAAACAACCAGTCTGGCAGGAGTAGCAGTCTGTGTTGTTGTTCTTCCAAGTCGAGTGATCCAGCACGGTCCTGACCCCGGTGCCAAGAAACCCTCGAGTGGATTACCACATATCCTTTGTTGGGTAACTGAGTTGTACTGTGTAAATACTAAAATAACAGCGGCACAACCGTCCACTCAGAACTAAACACCGAGGCCTACATTGTAACATAGCCCATGCTCTGGGCCACAATCCCACACAGTGAGCAGCAGAGTGCACGCAGGAGGAGAGGGTGCTTATGGGAGGGACTGTCTCACCTTGTTTAGAAAGCCCTTGAGCACGCCGGCAGCTTTCACCGACAGAGACCTTGGGATCCGAATGGGCTTCTCGAGAATAACTGTTGGCAAAAAGAAGGACGGCAACAAAAGAGAGAGCGAGTGAATTAAAAGGACAATCGTGAGGAGGGAGGAGAATGATTCACAGTCCAACCTGCCTGTGGGTGACTGTGTCTGCTGCGTGGGAGGCAGAGAAAGGGCGGAGATGCAGAGGACACTGTTCTATTCTCTCTCTCACACTTTTTGTGGTCTACTAATAGCCTTGAGACTCCCACAGCTAACAAGAACAAAATGCAGTAAAAACAGTTTCTCCCTCAAAACCCAAATCCAGAGATGAAGAACTGCATCACAGCTCCTTTTTAAACATGCTATTCACCCATTTTATTATTATTTTAAACCAGTGTGCGTGAACACTCACCATCTGAGATCCAGTTTCTCTTAAACCCAAAAGACATCTGCACCCAGGACAAGGCAAACACAAAAAGAGGAGAGCTATGTTTTGTGACTAGAAAGACGGGTATTTTACTAGCTCGATGTTCCACTTAACTCAAGTTTTATTTATGCAGTACAGAATCACAACAGCAGAGCCTTTAAGGAGCTTATCCTGTGTAGATATTACAGAACTGACAGTAAAGTTGACCTTGAGATGTGCTGATGCTCTGAACTGCAGATCTGATGTGAGAAATGAAAGTTGTCCTGTTGTGCATCTATAAAATAAAGTCTTATTTATCTGATACTGCTGTGTGGTGCTGTGCCTTTGACCAGGTGATTAAAGTTGATGGTCAGCTGTAGTAGAAACAATCAGACAGGTAGTTTCAGGTGAGTCATGACACTTATAGAGAGGAGAACTCCCAGTTGCTAGTGCTTAAAGGCTACTGGGAAAACTCATTACAATGCAATCATTATGCCAACGTTAATGACAAAACCTTGGCAAGAATAATGGGCCAGTTTCATTGGCCGCACATTCAGGGGTCGTTGTGAGCATCCTGACCTGAATGCCACTGCAGCCTTTACAGGTGGAGGGTCCATCTGAGCAAATTAGCATGGACCTGATTGGGCCATTTCACCAAAGTCAACATGGGTATCAGTGTGCAGAGCATTCAAAGCCAATAGTAGCACCTACCCACTGGCACCCTGCTGGCCAACAGCATCAACGGCACTCTTTAATCCAGGGATGGAAATGTCATTTCTGATGGCAGACGTGTTTGCTTTGGCAGGGTGCCCTGCCTGATGCAGCCCTCCATATTTATCGAGGCTTGGAAACGACACTAGGAGTAAACCAGCTCGTGGTCTCCCTGGAAACCACGGAGCTAAGACAAACAAAACATGTCAACAAAATCAAATAATCGCTGGTGCTGACCTTTTCATGATTTGTTGAATAACTAGAAAGAATTATAAATGTTACCAACAATAAACATTTCTGGTTTATGTCATTTTTTAAGAAGGAGGCCAATTACATGAAAAGGGAAAGACCATCTCTGAATCGAGGAGGGGGTCTAAGGGTACATCTGTCACCATCTTACAATGCTGTGACTGCAGCCATTCCCCAACTCTGTGTGAATGGGACTCATGGACATTGATCAGTGGGTTTTGATCAATTTGGATATTAATTATCATAAACTGACCTCCCAGCCCATTGTTAATCAGTGGGCTGGTTTCAGTCATTGTGCAAATGTGCTGTTTATAAGGTTGGAAAGCTGCAGTCAGCTGAGACTGAAGAAGCCACCTGATGATGAGGAAATGTTTGTTCCACTGAGAACGTCCAGATGAACAGAATCAACCTTCTGGGAAAATGTTCAATTGCTCCCAGTAACATATCAGAGCCACAACAGAGAGATAATCAGTGTTGTTCACCTCATCTGTCAGTGCTCATAATGTTGTGCCTGATTGATCTCTGTCACTGTGTTTACATATTAATAATCTTTTAATCTTGGCAGCCGACCTGCTTCAAACATGGACGTGTTTACTGGTACTTGGTTTTGTTTTTTCAGACAGAAACTGTTGTTATATCATGAAGGTAAACTACATCATTTATCACTGTATGTGTGTGTATGTATATATATATATATATATATATATATATATATATGTATAGTTGCTATCCTGTTGGTATACACAGTTGTCTTTCTGAAGCCAGTCTTAAACCATGACGACTCCTTTCAGTGTAAAGGAGAAAGCCCAGTAAATTCTCTCTGTTGTCTGCGTTGGTTCAGCTGAAGAAATTTCAGATATTGCTACAAAACAGTGAGTTGAGACGGCTGATGAATGCCAGCTGGAGCCAAACTGACATGGGGGGTGGCTGCTATTGGCCAGTTTTAACAGACAGATAGTCTGCTGTATTAGCCCATTTTATTTTCACTTCAGCTTTAAAAGTAAAGAGCAAGCTTTACGTTACACGTCTCTGAGGTTTAGATTTAACCATTACATTCAGGTCTTGTACATGTTAGCTGTGAATACAGCCTTGTGGCTGATTCCTGAATCAAATGTTTCTGAGTGTCTATCTAAAGCTCCAGGGTTAGCATGAGGTTCACAGATACCCAGAGTAAGGCCTGGCTCAGTCTAGCTCGGCGGCATATGGCTGGGAGCTCCTATAGTGAAGGGTTGGTTTCCATTGGCAGGCATTGATCCAGGAACCTGCTGCTGTACTGGTAAGGCCGCCAGGAGGACGGTGACAGATGCTAGCTGTGGTGCCGCACTATCCTCCTTTGACACAATGTGTAGCATGGAGGAATTTCTGTCACAGAGGACAGTCTGGGTGGCTTCGTGCTATGTAAAGAGACCATATGGCTCGAGGAAACACATGCAAGTAGAAGTTCCTGAGGTTTCTCTATTATAAACATGTGATCACACCAAGGTTATTTTCTGCTGACTTCTACTTCTTCTACTTGTCACTGAGTTTAAGATCTGGGACACTGTAAAGATCTGCTAAAACTCCACCATGATGAAGCACTCTGCTCTGTCTGCATGTGAAGATTAATGACCAGACTGACTGTGGATCGCTTCATTACGCACCAAAGTCTAAGTTGTGCACAGTTCAGTAACAAGCAGTGGGTATCCTGAGTGCTGTCATTGTGTGTACTTCAGTTCTACTAATGAGCACTGCAAACATGCTGCAGGCCATGAAGAAGAGTGAAAGCAGCAGCGTGATGCTGAAAGTGTGAGCAGGTACCAGTGTGAGGAACAGGTTTACGATGTAGTGAGATATATATATAACTTGTTGCTTTTTTAAAAGTACTCTGTCGGGAATGTGTGTTTGCTACAGCTTTACTGCACTGCTGGATGATGACACTGTGATGTATAGAAGGATGTCGCTCTCTGAATGCTAATCCTTTTGTTCCACTTGGAAAGGCTGAATTTCTGCATCCTTATCCTTATAGGAAGAGAAATGCAATCAGGTGTAAGCATCGGAGGGAAGTAACTAACACCTCTTTAAGAGATAAAAAATTCACAACCTGAAACACTGTAAATAAGATTATGATGGATGGAAGATTACTTTAACATGAATGCCAGTTTGAGCACAGCTTGATAGAAACATATAGATCTTCTTCCCCCAAACAGTTTCAGTTAGAAATGATTTAGAATGGAGTTTAACGGACGTCAAAACAAAAAGCTGCATATTTAGACTCAACAGTCAAACTGTAAATGACTGTGAGCAGCTACAGGAGGAAGCTCTCGTGTGCCCTGACTTTTACCAATGAACAGGATGTGCACCTTACTCATTTTCTTCTAACAGATGATGAAAGGCTTCAGATAAAACTGCACCCCCGCTCATTTTGTTTCATGACGCTTTAAAAGTAACCGCCGTCCATCAGATTTACACCTCCTGATTATGACACAGCGTGTCAGTAAACATGCTCATGAACCTCTACAGTAGCCTCAGTGTGATTGCACACGTTGTGTAAGGGGCGTGGTCTCCGGCCTGCGTCAGTGGAGGAAGCCACGGAGAGAGCCGGCTCCGGGCTACGACACAGCGGCGAACATAAGAGGAGAGCTGGAACCACAACAATGGCTCTCTGTGTGGGTCGTTCACACACATCAGTGCACGTGTTTGCAGCAGGGCATCAATCCTGTTCGTTTCACTATATTATAATATTCAAACTCACCCAGCCCTTTTTTATTTTGGAGACATTAGGTCGAAAGAATTCAAAAAGCCAAAGTGCAGATTAGATTTCCTCGACCTGTAAAAGCTCCCTGTAATCTGTAGACTGAGTCATTATTGATGATGATCAGTGATATCTCCTTAAACAACAGGCTTGAGTCTAACAGTCAGTATTGATCATTTGTCTGGCTCACCCTGAAAGAGGTACTCCTCTGTGTTCATGTCAGGATTGTCAGTGATGATGTCGAACGGGGACCTTCCAGCCATCATCTCAAACATCAGCACGCCCAAAGCCCACCAGTCCACGCTGAAGCCTGGGAGGAACATCACATCACATTCAGACTGGATGTGACATGTGATCAATAAGCTATAAACCAGGGGTGAGAACAGAGGTCAGGTCTCTGTGGTGTTTGGTACACTACATGGCTCTGCACATGTACAGACACACAACACGACATGCAGTGTGGACAGGCTGACACACGGCTAACGTTAGAAAGAGATTTAAAGACACACAGAAAATGTCACACATGCAGGAGTTACTGCTGTATCATATACATACATACATGTTTTTATGATGTTACTTAATAAGGTAGCACAGGAGCACATTTGGACCAATTAAACACATTCACATGTATAACATGAAATGTTGTTAGACAGCACATATTAGTTTGTAATTGTCTGTGAATGGCTTGATTTAGTAGGATTGTCAAAGTGTAACCCTTTACACTGCTCCTGTACTCACCATAGTCTTCTCCTCTCAGGATCTCAGGCGCTATGTAGTTTGGAGTGCCACAGAAAGTACTGGTGGTATCACCTGGTCTGATCCCCTCCTAAGAAGAAGAAGACAGCAGCGTTTGGAGAGATCAACAAGAGCGTGCCAGATTTTCCAGTCAATACTGACCTAATGCATTATTGATAATGCTACAGCTGCCCGCACTCTGTTACCTTGCACATGCCATAGTCTGTGAGCTTGATGTGTCCCTCGTGGTCCAAGAGCACGTTGTCCAGCTTCAGATCACGGTAGATGATGCCCTTTTCATGTAGGAAGTTCAAAGCGATGCAGATTTCAGCAGCATAGAATCTGTGACGAGATGAGAGGTGAACATTTCCACTCGCACATGATAACATGTTCAAATCCTTCCTGCACAGCTGCATGGATTTAGTGACAACGCAAATCGATGTTTACAGACCGTGACTAAGAGTGACTCGTCTCAATCGTTCAGAATCGTTCTCCAGCATCTGCTCGTGATGCTGTCGAGCGTTTGTGTTACATTTACAGAAGCTACCTGTGCTACAGCCATAAGAACAGCAGTGACTTAAGTGAACCACAGGGTTGGAGGGCGCATGTAAACACTCTCCAAAGCCTGATAGCATCCACACATTTACTTAACGAAAATAAGAGACGCAGCAGGAAGGTTGTTAGATTTCTAACCTGTGTGTGTTTTGGGGCCAGGTCAATGCAAAACGATGACGGCCCTCAGTGCACTAATGCCTGCGGTGCTATATCTAACCTGACTGAATGACTGTTTCTCTTCCTGTTTCTGATTAGTTGTTGGGATTTTTATTGTTCTTCTTTTTTCTTATAATGTAGGAATTGTGAAGATTTGGCCTTGAAGACACAAACACTCATTAGTTTTGGTTGTTTTTTTTTTAAACCTGAAGCACACCTGCCACCTGGTTCAGTGTATGCAAAACTTTAAAAAGCTGAAAGACCAACAAAAGTCCAGCAGGTTCAAATCTGTAGCAGGCAGTGTTCACCTCTGCAGAAATGTAAGACATGTCCTCCCAACAGCTGTGCACATCAGTGGGACTCAGCATCTGCTGCAGGACTCTTTGTTTGTCTTATAGAACTAATGAAAACTGTTTTTTATAGCTCTGGCTAAATGTTGGTGTCATGCTCCAAACAGAGCCTGCGACGGATAAGTACAGTTTACAGTTCCCAGAGAAGGACGTCCCCACGTGGCCTCTGTCCTCGTTCCCTGCATATAATTTACTCAGCTGCTGCCAGAGCGCTTAGAAAGCTAAAGAAGCCATCGATAACACCTCCAGCCGTGTTACAGTGGGCTTTGTAAACACTACTATTTACTACTGATAGCTGTCACTGGGTGAGAGGACACCCTGGACTGAGACGTAACTGAATTTGTGCGTCACATTTGCAAAGTGTGTGTGCGTTTCATGCAAAAGCAAAGCCACTGTGTAGTGGCCGTGTCTCCAGCTGTGTGTACATGAAGGCCCACTTCACAGGTGTAGTTTATTCCCTGTCAGACGGAGGTCTGTCAGTACCATCACTCCTCTCTGAGGCCACGGTTCCTAACAGGTCAGCATGTGTCAAAGCACCTGCAATACTCTGATACGCTTTGACTCCTGGGTCCACACAAAGTAACAGACATTAAAGAGACCATGTTCCTCGTGCCAAACATTTCTTCTTCTACTATGTCTATTGTTATGACAGCTAGTCTATAAAGTGTTTGTAGTTTGGGCCATCATTAGATGTACTTGGAGTGCTTCTTCGGTGAGTCAGTCAAATGTTTTCTCTCCATGTGTAGGTTGTGTGTATTCTGTCTCTAGGAGATAAGCCTTCATTAAACCTGACAAGCCTCTCGCTGTCTGCTGCTATAAATCTGTGAAACACTGAGGCAAAAGACTGCAGTGGAGAAGTCCCACGTCGCTCCCCCACATTTTCACGGTGACAGCCTCCATTGTACGCTGTTGTTTCTTTGTTGCCATCAGACTGATGGAAGCTATGGCCTATCAGCAGCACAATCCCCTGCCCACCAGCCCGCCTCCCCCACGGTGTGGGGGAATGTGGCAGGGCGCTCTCTCCAAGAGCGCTGCTCATGAATATGTACCATCATTATGAGTAATTAACATGCTGCTTTGCATATGTACAGCCACTGCCTCCACAATCCAGATTGCATGAGCTGATAGGGGTCCAACGGTGCCTCTGTAAATTACACAGCCTTTGATCCACTATTTATCAGAGACGCAGCTGGAGCGCCCTGCGAGTAGACAGCCACAATGAATTATGGGTGCTCATTATATTTTAAAAGGAGGGTAAAAGTGTTGAGACCTGTTAAAGCATCCTATGAAGCATATCTTCAAACATATGTGTTTAAAAGAAGACACACCCAGTATGAATGTGTAGACCATCGTGAAAACCGCTGATCTAGTGTGGTTCAGGCATGCAGCTGCTACCTGAGGGCTCTGACGTCTAATACTCACAACACTTTTGACAAAGACAGCTGAACATGAGTCTGCCTGCTCTGCACAGCCGTGACTTGAACCGGCCCAATGCTGCACGTACACATGGCTGTATCGTCAGAGCTGCCCTCACGAGTTCCTGCGTGTAAACTGAGGCTACGTGAAAATATAGGTTACGCTGTCCCTGAACTCGCTCCGCTCCAGGGATGCAGATACAATGGTTTGACCCTTCTGGAAGTCGTTTACCCCAAAATTGTTCACAATTATACAAATGGGTTTTCTGTGTCATGTCAGTGTAACCAAAATCAAGTGTACCCACTTCAGTGTCATCCTGCTATCACAGAGGCCTCATTTACCACCTCAGACTGAATCAGCTGCTGTTCAGTCTTCATTCAAACATGCGACCTGTTCATAATGCACATGTGGGAGTACACCTAAACACCATGTACCCTCTAAAGATTCTCACATTGTGGACAGGGACCATATTTTATGTGGATAATGCCTGGAAACTGCTGGCGTACATCTGGAGGTTTACCTTGCGTGCTCTTCCGGGAGCTTCCTTTGTCGTTGCATATGAAACATCAAATCCCCACCGTTCACATACTCGATCACTAGAAATAACCTGGAAACAGAGCGAGAACATTTATGAACAGACGTTACATCAAATACTCTTAATATGAACGTTATGCAAAAGTTTAAAAAGAGCATTTCTTGCTGGTCTTCATTATATCAAAAGAAAACATGCACCTTGACTCAAAAGCCCTGTTTGATGTTATTTAATCAATAATAAAATATTATTGTATTATGATAGTATTAAGGTACTATTATGATAGTATTAAGGTACTATTGTGATAGTATTAAGGTA